CTCTCGAGCTCCGTAGCCGTTCCGAAGGATTTCGAGATCGTCAAACCAAAAGTAAAGAAAAGAGAAAGATCTTATCTTCTCTTGCTCAAGGACATACAGACAGTTTTGATGATGGAAAAATTTTCTTTCTTCTTACACAATCATCCTGGTGGTATAATTGACTCTGGCAGCATGCTGCGTCAAAGCAACGTCTCTTTAAATAGGTAACGTCAAACTGCTCAATCATATACCACGTTTCGCTGTGTCCACAGTTTTTTTTTTTTTTTACGGTCAACCTTCCACCTTCGATAATGATGTATTTCACAAAAAGCTTCACCATTTTGCTAATCTTTCTTGTCACAATTATAAAAACCACTTGGTTTCGCTCAGCACCTGATCAAGCACGATAGGCAATTTTACAAAATGGCGGATATGGTCTTGGTTGGAGATTTAACATCAACAAGAAAAGTCAAGGACATTTTCGAGTGTGTCTTCCATTGCCTGGAGCATGGTCCATCCGCTTGTCTTTCGTTTAATATTGCTAAAACTTCTCACGATGGGTTCTATAGTTGTGAGTTGAGTGACTCGGAAAGGTGTCTGGATCCACAATGAATGCAAGGAAGTCCTGGCTTTGATTATTACGGCACATCTGCTGAGGTAAGTTTTTGACATCTTATCAGGTCTTTGCATCCAAATTAGTACCAAATGTATCCTTTGGTTTTGAAGGTACCCTTCTCTAATCTGATTAGAATTAAGTTTATTTCAAGCCTATCTACATGTAACAACAGCCCATGTAGTAATGGAGGGACTTGCACTCTTGGTTCACGATTGGATGAATTTTCCTGTCAGTGTCTCCCAGAAGTTAAAGTGCTGCCATTTATTGCAAATAAGTGTAACGTTGGTAAGTCTAGTGAAAGTTGCTTTGCCTAAATTTCTTTGGCTTAACGAGGAAGAAAGCTTACGGGATACTGGATATCTAATTAACGAATTATCACCTTACTAATTATACGTTAAGGTTTAAAACGCTATTGCCATCCCAACATCACGCAAAGGTAATGATATAATGAGACACATTCCTTGAAGTTTAATATAAGGGCTTTTTGTCTTTTGCCTACTATCATTGGTAATATACTGAGAACTCATACATCTACATACGAGAACTTTTCTATTTGATCGTTAGCCCCTCTTTCCCATTCATTCATAAATTCCAAAATTCTTTGAAACAAAAGAAGAAAAAAAACTATAAAAACAGACGCGAAATTGTAACAATGATTTAGTGTTGTTTTCACGGTTTTTAACTTTCACAATTAAATATTCGATGCTATGGGTAATTTCGTTTATTTAGATACGCACATCATGGGAAAGACGCTTCCTACAGAGCGAGTATTTCAAACCTACGCTGGAAGATACAGACTGACCTTTTACGACGCACAGCCTCTTTGTGCTTTACACGGAGCGATGTTGGCCACATAAAGTCAGCTGAACAAAGCTTGGCAGGCTGGTCTTGAAAGATGCTCGTAGGTTGCTGCTTACTTGTTTGTATGCATTTATCATGGCTATTACGAGTCTACATGTAAATAACACTAGCTTACAGAATCTCGTCGCCATTTATAAACTGATATTGATTTGATAATGTGAAAATTGGTTACCATTAAGAGATCTTAAGAATTTCTCAAGCTGACTTTTCTAGGCCTGCTTTAGAGCAAATAGAGGAAATATAGGTCGTAGTTTGTGTTTGTTTATCTGATGCAGAAAAAAATGGAGCTACGCTGTCGCTGGGAACATGATGACGTGAAAAACTTGAATAAATTTGTGGTAGTGAATGAAAAGAGTTCATTGATACTTCTGGCATCAAGAGTGCCGATTTGAAAGATACATTTTTTTCTAGGGTTTTGCGGCTTTCCGTGACTGCCTGATTTAGGAAAAGACCACAGACTGCCATGTGCTGCAAGTTCAGAAAGCTGCAAAACTCTACGCGGCCTTTGCCCCCATCCAGGCACACAAATCAACGGCAAACAATCTTGGTGTATTTTCGTAGTTGCTTCTTTCTTTCAAACTTTATATATAGATTTAGGCAAGCCTAAAAGCGGAGCTCGAATTTTATTTTCTCGCACGTCTCTTTAACAAAACTAAAGCCCCTACTATGGATAAAGTGCGTGGTAATGTTAATGGATTTTCATTCGCAACTTCTCCGTTTTTGTGTAGAGGACTGATTATAAGATAGCGCCCGTGGTACAGTTGGCCGCGCATACTAAAAGTAACACCTTGTACGTTCGGTCGTACGGTCGTAAATCCAATTTTTTTCGGCTTGATAGGTTACCACTATTTTGTATACTTATGGGGCTACGCGAGCTCCGCTATAAGTTGCGTTTGCCAACATTTTTTCTCTTTTTACTTTCCAGATGTGGATGGCTCATCGATGCAACCGTTCAATTGCCAATGCAAACAAAAAAGAATGGTTGTGGAAATAAGATAGGCATTATTGGATCGTCCAAAAAACAAAACAAAGGCGACAAGAGCAACGCCCGGTGTTATCTTAAGTAACAACTCAACGAAGACCTTGAATGAGAGAAAGGATTTGGGATCCAGTCTTTATTTATCACCTGAGAGAAGAGGGAGGGAAGGATGTCGGGGGGAGCACGTGGTTTTTGAGGGTAAAAAGGGTTGGGGGAATGTGTAAAATTTACCACCAATTAACTGCCAATATTAGATAAAAATGACATAAAGATTAAATGAAAATGAGCACCCTTAATAGATAGATGACTTGATTTATACAGGAAAAATCAGCACAATGTAAGGGTTTAAACTATCTCATGGTGCCTAGCTAAACTAACCAATAATTAATACAGTATTATAAGAATAAAAACCAATCATATCATTTGAACTGCCTTTCTAGGATGCCTTGTCTCATTCAAAAGCAATAAGGACGTAGTTCATTTTCAAATTCGCTTAAGGGAACTGTTGATCAGATCAACTGGCAAGATGGCACCTCTATGGGAAAACCTCTTCAAATAATTGGCCCTAGGTTGTGGAACAGCCACTTTTCGAGGGAACTAAAATTTTTGAGCGACAAAACCGAGCATAAAGCTAACACAACACAGATAGTAATTCAGATTTCTGTCATATCAACTTTGGGAACATATTCCTCCTTTAAATAAATCTAAGACTTTTGAAATTATTTTTTCCCTATTTCTTTTACCGCGAGTTGACATTAACGCTTAATGCTTTTGCGATCGTGTTTAAAATTATCATCCAGGGCTTACTCCTATAACTTCAACAGTTTGCATCCGCTCTTACCTCAATAGACATGTTAACGATATCTCAGGTTTTGCTTACATACATTGCCACCGACACATGGTAACTGACATGAACTGTTTGGAGCAGTTTTCAGCCTTATTTGTTTCTATAAAAGTAACTGGTGCTAATGCTTTTAGAAAGCTTTCAATTTTCTTTTCTTTCTTATTGTGTGGAGACATTCGGTTTTTTGTTTGTTTGTTTGTTTTTTTGTTTTGTTTTTTTTGTTTTGTTTTGTTTTTTTGTTTTTTGTTTTGTTTTGTTTTTTTTGTCATACCCAGCATTTCATTGTATTCTATTAGATATTTTCCGAATGTACTGGAGATAAAACAAAGGTGATATAACCTTTTTGTATAATTATGCAATTTCAAAAAGACCTTTTTTTGGCAATGTAGTATGTAGGTAGGATATGGATTTTAATAAAGTAGTAGTATGATTATTCAATCATGGGAATAATATCACCGAACAAATAAGAAATAAGGGAAATACATCAAAACATAAGGAGCGAAAGAGAGAGAGACTTTACCCAAACTCCACGAAGTATTTGTAGCTGTTAATATAAGCTTACAAAAGAACTGAGTAGCACATCGATTCGAATGAAAAAGTATGTACATCTAGTGATGAAGACATTGAATTTCTTTCTCAATTCATCAATTCTGTTTCTACTTTTCGTGCTGTGCGCCCCTTTTGGAAGGCTGCGTGCGGGTGTAACACAGTTGGTTTTCAATTATTTTTCTTTCCAACTTAATTACAAAGCAAAAAATTAGCTGATGCCTCCTATAACTGTGCGAGGTTTTTTTGAAAACAAGTTCTCTGTGATTGAAAGACAGGCCTGTTTAGGTGTATTAGATATCTATGCTTGGCTAAATAAAACTATTTAAGAAACGAAAACTTGCTCTGTTTCGTGAACTTACTTGCAACAATACACAGTAGATAACTAGGGACATAAGAATGAGATGTTATTCTTACGATGGGCAATAAAACTACACATTTTACATTTCTGCTCGAGGTGCGCAGCTGGTTTTCAACAATTTTTTCATTCAACTTAATTACGAAGCACAAAGTTAGCTGATGTTCTTTTGTTCGTTGAAAAAGTTCTCTGTGAGCGAAGACAGGTGCATTCGACATCTCTGCTTGACTAAATAAAACGATTTAAGAAGCGAAAATTTGTTCTGTTTCGTAAACGTAATTGCAACAATACACAGTAGATAACTAGGGACATAAAAATGAGATGTTATTCTTACGATGGGCAATAAAACTACACATTTTACATTTCTGTTCGAGGTGCCTACCTATTCAACTCAATACTTTTGCATATTTACTAAAGACTGACCGCTGGAGGTAATCTAACTCCCACTGCTTTGGAAACACTAAACTATTATTGTCTTTCATTTATACAAAAGAGGATTGTGTAATGATTACATCGAGGAAATTAGGCTCATTTAAAACGGGTATTCCTGTCTTAAGCTACAAAAACTTCTCGAAGTCCAGATGCAATTTGGAGATAACATCGCCGTTTAACCTAGTTTTCTTCTCGGAATATTCCCATTGCTAAGTCTTGCTCAGCATTCAATTAGACAAGGCAGGCAATTTACAAACTGCCGGACAGCTATCTGGTGGGAAACGCAACATCGACAAGACACGTAAAGGACTATTTTTGACTGTTCCTTCCTCTGTCTAGAGTACGAACCATTCGCTTGCTTGTCGTTCACTATGACTCGGGGTAGTGACAACGGCTATCACACCTGCGAATTAAGCAGTTCAGAGAGATACCTTGAGCCGGAAAGAATGGAAGAAAGGCTCGGCTAGGATTATTATGGCACAACTACTGAAGTATGTGATACATACAGTGATCAACAAGTTTACGACTGCTTTTTCTTTGAAACAAGCACCTGATAAAACTAAAAAAGGGTAATTCTGTATTTCAATGATATGTTTTCGAGGTACAGTAACGCCTGTACTGAGCAAACCTCAAATTGAGCGGACCCCCAGAGCTTTTGCATCACATGAGCCTTAGAGGAACTAAAGAAAGAAAACTTAAAAAAAAGAGAAAAAAAGTCAAAGGAGAAAATAAACTTCACAAACAGGGAACTTAATCAAGAGATTTTAGTTTCATTTCTAATCGATTTCGGTTCTGGATTATATTATGATCTTACCGGCGAGTGTAACAGGGTGTCTGCATGATTCAAATTCCACAAAGTTTGTTTTCTTGCATTTCTAGGCTTTCAAATTGGACTCTATCTTAAAATATGATAAATACACCACATTCGATGGTTTGACATAATTATACTAAGAATGACGTAATACTGGAATTATAATTGGGGTATTGCCTATAAGTAAGTATGACAAATAACAAGTTCGACCTTCCTTCATTCTTAAGTACGTGTTGATTGATATCAATTCACCGAGGAAGGATAAATTCAAACACTGATCTTACCAAATAAGGAGAAAAAAAAGGCGGGTGAGCTCACGCTTCGATCTGTTGAGTGAACGGGATGCAAAATCCTCCGTTTTTCTATGACTTCTCCGTTATGTTAAAAAGCACCGAGAGTTCTTGGCTACTTTTGTAATAATAGAAAATATGTTAGTCTCTTTTCAGGATATCTCCATGTTCTAGTAATCCGTGTAGTAATGGAGGGACGTGCTCTCAAGGCAAGCGGTCTGGTGAATTTTCCTGCCAGTGCCTTCCACAAGTGACCGTGCTTCCGTTTATTGACAACAATTGTAATATTGGTAAGAGGTTTGAAGTTGTGGATTAGAACAAAAAGAAACCACCAAAATTGAGACTTATTTGCTGGGAGTACCAAGTTTGGTTCCTATGGGGATTCTATAACTTCATATCGTCGAAAGCCCCCTTTGATTTTCGAATATGACCTTTTTTTCCATCGTTTGCCTGTTGCATTACGCTACGTAATAACTTTTTGAACGCTTTCCCTTGTAAAATCCCATAACTATGAGACATATACCGAAAACGCCGCATTATTATTATTTTCTTCTGTTTTCTATATCATATTCAAAGACACGAAGAAGATGGTTCGCTACAAATCTGTGGAAGGAGTGTTTCATACTAAAACAGGCAGGTATAAACTAAACTATGAAAATGCCAAACGTTTATGTGCACTTCACGGAGCACAATTGGCCACATACAGCCAACTACACAAGGCCTGGCAAGCAGGAGCTGAAATGTGCCCGTAAGTAAAAGTTTACTTGTTTCTTCCCCTTTCACTTCTTCTTTGTAACGGCCCGTTCGTCTCCAATGCTTAAAAATCCATATGGCCATCATGTATATTACCTAGTTTTGGAGCTCTTGCTTATAGGCGTGTAAACTACACTCTGCCTTTTTCATTCCTATGTTTATTATTACTGTCATTATTATCATTACTATTACTATTAATAGTATTTTTATCATTATAATAATAATAATAATAATAATTATTATTATTATTATTATTATTATTAGTATTACGATATTTTTGTGATATATTTAATATCCAGGTATGGATGGTTGATCGATGCCACCGTTCTCCTCGCAATGCAGACAAAGAAGATATCGTGTGGAAATAAGATCGGCCTTGTTGGGCATTCATCACCAAGACCCAAAAGCCAGACTTTCAACGCTTGGTGTTTCAAGTAAATGCATCGCGCGAAGAACAATTCAGTATGTTAAAACTGTCTATGGAGAGAAACTTCTCATTTTCATAGTGTTATTCTGGGTTTTTTTTTTTAGCTTTTTGTCTTTGCTATTTTTAATATAGTTTCCTCTTTAGTTTCATTTAGAACCAATTCATTTCCCTTGGCGTACATAGAAAAAAACTTGGCTATACCTACATTTTTTTTAAGTATTTTCTTCCGATGAATTCTGCTGTTCGAAGCTGAAGAATGAACTTGAAAAATATAGCAAACACAGTAAAATGATGCTTGCAACTAGCGCATTTCAATATATAACGTTTAAACACGCGAGCCTGAAGGCGGGAAGTCGATTAAAACAAAAAAACTTGAAGTATCACCTCTCTCGTTAGTCATAAGAGAACGCTTACCTTCTGTAGCGCTTTGTGATGATCTTCCCTTTTAATAAGTGCCGTCGGACTTTGTAGAAACACTTGTCACACTTTGTAATAACTTAAGTACAGATGGTCGGAAGAAAAAATATATTGTGGTCAAAAACCGTGATTATATTTCATCATAATTATTGCACTTGATAATTTTTTTTCTGAAATATCTCGCCTCATTAACCCACTTCACTATACGTTACCCATTTTGTTTAGACTTCGAATGTGCTGGAACATAGTTGAAAATCATCAATAATAATCAGAAAAAGTGACATCTCAAATGATTGGCTGGTCTAAAATACCAGTGTGCCAAAGAAACATCTCAGTATCAAAAGTTCATGTTCAAATTTCCTTCTCTATGTGCAACTGCTTGCAAGAAGGCGTTTCCATTCTGTCGCAATATCTTGAAAGGGGAATGAAACCAACAGTAGTTATTGATTTTTAACACGAGTTTAACCAGAAAAAGGGGGTCAATGTTAAATTCGCAATTTTAGCTAGTTGTTACGGAATCCCAGCTATGGGCTCTAAGAAAACTGTCATGACGATATGACTGACAGATGAAGGAAAAAAAAGAAAGAGACCTGAAAAATTCAGGCCTCTGTGGGATTCGAGCCTCTGCTCTTCAGATACTAGTTTGTGGGTCAAATTCAAGAAGAACAATTCAGTATGTTAAAACTGTCTATGGAGAGAAACTACTCATTTTCATAGTGTTACTCTAGGTTTTTGTTTTAGCTTTTTTTCATAAATTTTTGTGCTGTTTTCAATATAGTTTCCTCTTTAGTTTCATTTAGAACCAATTCATTTACCTTAGCGTACATAGAAAATAACCTGGCTGTACCTACATTTTTATTAAGTATTTTCTTCCTATGAGTTCTCCTGTTCGAAGCTGAAGGATGAACTTGAAAAATATAGCAAACATAATGAAATGCTGCTTGCAATTAGTGCATTTCAATATATAACGTTTAAATACGCGAGCCTGAAGGCGGGAAGTTGATTAAAACTAAAAAAAATAATCACCTCCCTCGTTAATCATAAGGGAACGCTTACCTTTTGTAGCGCTTTTTGATGATCTTCGCTTTTAATAAGTCCCGTCGGACTTTGTAGAACACGTGTTGCACTTTGAAATAACTTAGGTACAGATGGTCGGAAGAAAAAATATATAGTGGCCAAAAATCGGGATTATATTTCATCATAATTATTGCAATGGATAATTGTTTTTCTGAAATATTGTGCCTCATTAACCCACGTCACTATGCCCACGTTATCCATTTTCTTTAGACTTCGAATGTGCTGGAACATAGTAGAGAATTATCAATAATAATCAGAAAAAGCGACATCTCAAACGACGTGGCCTGTCTAAGATAACAATGTGACAAAAAAACATCTCAGTATCGACATTTCGTGTTTAAATTTCATTCTCTATGTGCTACTGTTTGCAAGAAGGCATTTCCATTCTGTCGCAATATCTTGAAAGGGGGAATAGAAGCAACGATATTCATTGATTTTTAACACGAGTTTAGCCTGAAAAAGGAGGCCAATGTTATATTTGCAATTGTAGTTAGTTGTTACGGAATCCCACCTGTGGCTCTAAGAAAACTGTCATGACGATATGACTGACTGATCGGCATTTTTCTCAGCCATACTTCACGATTTAAGATCATTTCACCCTGGGACATGTCTCAATACCAAACTCCCCGCGCATTTCGCTGGAACGAGCGTTTTCTACCTGCATTTCCAAGTTCACTTTTCTCTGGCTATGCCCTTGACAACCAGCCTGGACATGGCCGCAGAAAAGACTTGGGCACGAGGTCAATTTTCTCCCTACCGCGAGTGGTACGTTCGATCAATGTACAATACTTACCCTATCCCCTATTTGCGCTAAAATGCTATCAAAGGGGAAGGGATGCGGTGAAATTGACTGTGAAGCGAATCATAAAAGAGTCAAGAGTGGCAAATTTTCAAGATGAATATGCTAAGATTTCATTTTGGGAACTTTGGGGATGGATTACTGCTTTTAAAATCATCGGCGAAAAGTTTATATTAATAGAGAACACATTTTTAAGTGAGAACCTAAGATAGATATTTAGGTATCATAGCTTTTGGCAAGTCGGAATCCGACGTCAAACTTAAAAAATAATTTCTTATTTAGCAATGCAGTATGTAAGTAGGATTTGGATTTTAATAAAGTTATAGAATGTAATACATTGTGCTTCTTTCTTACTGCATCTATTATATTTATTCCTTTTTGTTGTGCGCCCCCCTTAAAAGGTTGCATGCGTGGGTAGCACAGTTGGTTTTCAAGTATTTTTCTTTCCAATTTAATTGACGCACGAAAGTAGCTGATGCCTCTCATAACTGTTCGATGCTTTATGGAAAACAAGTTCTTTGTGAGCGAAAAACAGGTGCATTCGATATTTACGTTTGACTAAATAAAACTATTTAAGAAACGAAAACTCGTTCTGTTGTAACGCTACACAGTACATGACTAAGGACATAAAAATAAGATGTTATTCTTACATGGGCGATAGAACTACAAATTTTACAATTCTGTTCGAAGTGTCTACCTATTCAACTCTTTAATTTTGCACATTTACCAAAGACTGCCTGCTGGAGGTAATCTAACTCCCATTGCTTCAGAAACATTAATCTAGTGATGTCATTCATCGACACAAAGGTGGAAAGTCTAATTACAAAAAGGAAATTCGGTTCGTATAAGATTGTATCTAGCTGCACTTTGGATATCTAGATGCACTTTGGATATCACATCGCCGTTTTGCCCAATTTTCTTCTCGGGATATTCCCTTTCCTGAGTCTTGCTCAACATTCAGTTAGGCAAGGCAGACAATTTTACAAAATGGTGGACAGTTATCTGGTGGGAAACGCAACATCGACAAGACACGTAAAAGACTATTTTGACTGTTCCTTCCTCTGTCTGGAGCACGAACCATTCGCTTGCTTGTCGTTCAATATAGCTCGGAATAGCGAAAACGGCTATCATACCTGCGAATTAAGCAGTTCTGAGAGATACCTTGAGCCGCAAAGAATAGAAGAAAGGCTCGGCTATGATTATTATGGCACAACTACTGAAGTATGTGATACGTCTTACTTGTTTGTAGTCCTGGGTTTATTAGTCTGTCACAACATTAACTGTGATCAACAGGTTTACAACTGCTTTTTTCTTTAATGCAAGCATCTGATAAAGTAAAAAAGGGGTAATTTTGTATTTTAATAATATGTTTTCGCAGTACAGTAACACCTGTACTGAGCAAACCTCAAAAATGAACGGACCCCCAGAGCTTTTGCATCACACGGGCGTTAGACGAACTAAAAAAGAAAAACAGAAGAAAGGCTCGGCTATGATTATTATGGTAGAACTACTGAAGTATGTGATACGTTTTAATTGTTTGTAGTTCTAGGTGGAATGGTCTGTTATAACTATAACCACGATCAAACAGTTGACGATCGCTTTTTTACTTTTATGGAGTCATCTGATAAATGTAAAATAATTTAAATATTGTATTTCAGTTGTATGTTTTCGAAGTACAGTAACACCTGCACTGAGCAAACCTCAAATTGCATGAACCTTCAGAGCCTATGTATCACGCGAGCGCTAGACAAAGCGTCGTCTTCCATGTAAACATTTGAAAATAAAAAAGTGCGGATTTGGACTTGAAAAATTATACTTATAATTATAGTTACAAGACGAACTGAGGAAAGAAAATGAACTTCAAAAACAAGGAACTTAATCAGGGTCTATAATGAAAGATTTGAGTTTCATTTCCAATCGATTTCTCACGCTTCGGTCTGTTGAGTAGACAGGATTTTTCGCCATGAGCTCAAAAGCGCGATGCGAAATCTTCCTTTTTTTCTATGACTTCTCTATTATGTTCAAAAACACGGAGAGTTCTAGGGCACTTTTGTAATAATAGGAAATATATTAGTCTCTTTTCAGGATATCCCCATGTTCTAGTAATCCGTGTAGTAATGGAGGGACGTGCACCCAAGGCAAGTGGTCTAGTGAATTTTCCTGCCAGTGCCTTCCAGAAGTTACCGTGCTTCCGTTTATTGACAACAATTGTAATATTGGTAAGAGGTTTGAAGTTGTGGATTAGAACAAAAAGAAACCACCGAAATTGA